TATGGTTTTATAGTGATTTGTTAACACTTTGTCCCACTCCTGAAATTGATTTCTTGGGGTAGAGTTCACCTGAAATACAGAGCAAAGCGCTCTAAGTGAGTGGGTATGTGCTTTAGGATGAGAGACGTGTCCTTCAGCAGCGTGATCTCCTCCTCTTGGCTATGAGGGGAGCCTGGGGTGGCTGGCTCAGGCAGCAATATTTCTCTTACCGACACGTAAAGGTGTGTGAGATGATGAATCCTCACTCTCTGAGTCTCCAGCTGAGAATCCAGAGTCAAATCCTGGTTTTCCTGGCTCCTCAGCACCTTCCGGTGTGCCAGTTCGATCTGTGCCCCGTGTAACTCCCCTCTCTCCGTTCTCCCTCCTAGGCTGGCTGCATGTACGTTCACGGAGGGGTGGTCAACATCCATGAAAACAAACGGACTGGCTCTCTGTTTAAAATGTGGCTGGTGGTACCCAGCCTGCTGGAACTGTCGTGGGAGAAGCTCCTGGAATATTTCCCTCATCTGGCAACTCTCTCCAGATCTCAGCTTTTGCACCTTGGACTGACGCAGGGACTCGTTGAGCGACTAAAATGAGAACATCTCATGCTTCTGTCCAAGACACACTACGTTCAAGAAGGCCCCTCCCACCCCCTATTTATGCAAACTGTGGATGATTTTGCCAAGAACATGGAGGAAACCCGCTCAACGCCTTACTCAGCAAATACATCGATGCCTTTCTAGAAATTTTTACTTTTAACTTGTTGAAAATCCACTTTTTATTTATGGATCTCGAAATTACACCATTAATCAAAAATACTCTCTGGGACTAATCCTTCACATCCAGCCATCGAACTGTCATCAGCACATGCTTGCAACTTAATTGGGGAGGGTGGGGAGCTCAGCGAATGTCTGAGCCCGTGCTTCCACGTGGCGCATTCAACTTAGTATTTTCGCGAGATGTATCTCACGGAGGACGTTCAGCGCAGAACAGCAGCCCACCCGTTCTTTTGCTTTGGATGACACTCATCCCGCTAACGCCCAGCTGAGCTCCCCCTCTAGAAAACCGAGAACTCCTGCTGCTTGAAGGCTTTGCATGAGTTTCGTGGGCACGTTCCCATCTCTTTGAGCTTCAGAAGACGGCTGGAACGTCGCATGGGGCAGCGAGTGAAGCTTTGCCTGTGCAGCTTTTCTGGTGCAGTGTTGCAGTGATTTGAAACACCCCGTGTCTGTGTCCCTCACCTTTTCATATTGAAAGGTTTGCTTGGAAGACTGGTTAAAAGTTGCTACTTAATGGACTACTGTGTAGTTTACTCGGGGTGGTGAGGGGAGGGAAAAGGTTTTGCTGAATCTTTTTTTAACCCTGTCTGCTCACATCGCGCTCTGAACGAGCTAACTGCAAAAACTCACCCCCGTAGATTTCGGAGCTGTCTTTTAACCTGCAGCGCTTTCTACCCGGTGCTTGGGTGCCAGCCACCCGTGCCAGCTCAGTCCTGGCTATCAGCATCTGACTCCAGCGTGTACCTGTAAGCTTTGTTGTTTTCCTTCCTCCCACACATCACATGTTGGCCTTTTTCTAGTTTGCTTCGTGTTCCTCTGGGGGTGGGGGGTGTTACTGCTGCGTGTGGTTTTAAGCCGGTTTTGCGTGTGGCTTTCTGGGTCCTTGGAAGCTCACAGATTGCTCGTCCCGGGAAACGCAGCATCGAAAAAAGGGGAGAGGGAACATCCCTCCCTCTTGCTGTGAGCAGAGAGGAGAGGATGTCTGGCTCGTGTCTTGCTGTGCTCCACACGCTGTGGAGTTAGCTCTAGAGACCGTGTGTGAGCGGCCGCTGAACTCCGAGCAGCTCCAGTCAGCTGGCACCAGGTTTGTGCAAAATCCTTTTCGTTTGAAGACCATTTTTAAGTGCCTTTTCTTTTTTTAAATCGGCTTTTCCTACTACCTTCCCCTTCCATCATCAAAGGCAAAGGTTAGCCGCTGGGGTTTTCGTTTCTTTTTAAGAGATTGCATTTATGTTTCAATAAACCGTAGCGTTGTCTTCATGTTGTTAATCTGAGCAGCACTGGCTGATGGAGTCACTGCTGCCGCGCTTACAGAGCACCCACCCCTGATGTTCCATTGAGGTGTTGCCACTTGCCCCGATGTTAAGCTTCTCCTGTTCTTGGGGATAGATTTTTTCCCCCCCTTCTGTAGCCTCCGTTGCTTTTTTTTTTTATCGTTCTCCCTCCAGGGCCCAGAAAAATAAAGGTTGGGCATCACAGCTGAAGCGTTCTCTGGTGCTTTGGACCACAGAAAGCGGTGGCAGCTGCTTGTAGCTCTGTTGTATCTGTCCCCTGTGTTCTACCCATGCAGGACGTGCAGCTCACAAGGCAAAGCTGGGAACTCAGCCGCACCGTGTGGCTTTGGCAGCCCCTCACAGAATCACAGAACGTTTGGAGTTGGAAGGGACCTCTGTGGGTCATCTAGTCCAGTCCCCCCCCAAGCAGGGTCACCCACAGCAGGCTGCACAGCACCGCGTCCAGCCGGGGTTGGAATATCTCCAGAGAAGGAGACTCCACAGCCCCTCTGGGCAGCCTGGGCCAGGGCTCCGTCACCCTCAGAGGGAAGAAGTTCTTCCTCATGTTCAGACGGAAACATGCTCAGACCCTCCAGGTCTTGGTGTTTGGGTTGGCTTCTAGCTCGGAGCCCGCGGGACAGAACGCCTTTGCTCCTGGAGAGTGTTACCATCCTGTTTCAACCCCTTCCGAGCCTCCCTGGCTGCTCCTGGGCTCAGGGGCTGACCCCAGACTTTGCTGGCAGCTGTGGAAGGGCTACTAACTCTCCTGCCCCTGGCTTGTGGTGGCCTCTTCTGCAGGACCATGGTGGGCTAATGGACCTTTGCTCCAGCTCCCTCTTCTGGCCTGAACTCGGTGGCTTTTGCCTCTTGTAGAGGCTGAATATCTGCACTTAGTCTTTGCCTTCCACCCCCCCAGTACTGCTGGGACCTTTATACTGGGTCATACATGTGCTGGTTCTTCCCTTACCTGCTTTAAAGGGCATCTCCCATCATCACCAAGGCAACGCTAAAACCATCCAAGCCTGGATCTCTGATCAAGCAGATTCCTTATGCTCTTGCGTCTTCCTTGCTCCGGCAGCCTTACAGGGGCAGCCAGGAGCTTTCCCCCTGATGTGAACATGGGGAAGAAGATGGTGGGTGTTAATGTGGCCTCAGCTTGGCTCCATACTGACACCTGTAACACTGTCACTTGATCTTGGCTTCAAATCCTCCCATGGAACATGTTCAGCCACCTAGGCAGGACAATACAGCCCCTGATGTCCCTGTGACACACGAACCCACTGCTGGGTCACCCAGACGCAAGCGCCAAGCCTATTCCACGGGCTGGACCACTGAAGGTGCAAGCCCAGAGCCTGCCTGTGCCCTCCACCGGTGGCCTGGAGCTGGTTTTGCCCCCTCCAACACAGCCATGCTATGTCCCCAGCACACAGGACTTCCAGGAGCATGGCCAAGAGAACTATGGAATGAAGGATCAGGGACTTGCTTTTGCCAATACAAGCGTTGGCCACCGATGGGAGGCCTCTCCCAATAACCTGGGATGGCTGCTGCGTGACGGGCACAAGATCCTGGATGCTGCTCTTCCTAAAAAATTACTTTTAACTACCGCAAAGCTGACAGCTCTCTTTTGAGGGTTTGCTGGAGTTGCTGCTAGTCTACTGCATGTTGAGTTTTTAATGATAAAAGCTTCTTGCTGGCTCATGGTGGTGGAGGCTTTGCTCCTCATGTTCAGACGGAACTTCCTGTGCTTCAGTTTGTGCCCGTTGCCCCTTGTCCTGTCGCTGGGCACCACTGAAAAGAGTCTGGCCCCGTCCTCCTGACCCCCACCCTGCAGAAACTGAAGCAAACTGAAGCAGAGGAAGCTCCAGCTGAACCCAAGGAAGAACTTCTTCACTCTGAGGGTGACGGAGGCCTGGCCCAGGCTGCCCAA